TTAGGCATGAAGATGGAATTGATTACAGATTAGCGTAAAGGATCGTATGATACAGTCATAGAAATAATTATTTTGGTACGTCTAAACAAGTGACAACTCTACGACAGATCCATCTATGTGTAGGTGATACACGGCCGAAAACACATTTTATATTCATAACTACTCTTAATATCAGCACAACAATGTTAAATCTGCAAATTTGCGGAGATAATTTTTTGTTCTTCCCTCGCCGGGATTCGAACTTATGCTTTTGGGATATTGAGACAACACCGCATGCACTGTGTCCATCGCTCTAGTATATATTTTTTAAGAAACTACCGATTTACAACGGGGGCACTTGCAGATGACAGGGTACCTACAAATGCGTCTAAGAGCATATACTATGGATTCGGTTATTTTCGTGGGTACCAATTTTCGTGGATTATAGAAATCTTACATGTTCGTGGATATTTAATTTCGTGGTTTTGTCGATGTCTGCATACAATCTTATAGAAAATTTGTTATTCGTTGAACTTTTAATTTCGTGGTTCACCTGTACCCACAAAATCCACGAAAGTTGGTATCCAACGAATAACAATGAATCCACAGTACAATGAATAATGTACAATGAAATAAAATACACATAAGACAATATCATAGTTAACAATAGATACCCTTTAAAACAAGTGACCTTTCATGAAAGCATTATATATAAGATAAAATCACAGTAAGCTTAATTTTCTAAAATCGAAGACCTGTAGGTGTACATTTCACTCAACATCTTTTTACTAAAAGTGTCAACATGATTACAAACATTTGGATCAACATGATAAAAATATTCACCTAGCAGTGTGTTTATTTTTTTCGTAGAACGTTACTCTGTAAAGCAAAAGTCGGAGAAGTTAGTACTTAGGTACTCATTTATATCGGCAAAATACTTGTGTCGTATAAGGGAATATTCATTAAATTCGAGTACGAAGTGTTCCACGGACTCCTCAGATTTACATGAACGCATTTAACAAATTGGAGTCTCGCTCATATTCATTCATACAAAAATTGATTCATTGGTAAACAGCTTGTTCGTGATAACAATTTTAACCGTTAAGACTTAAAATCGCGCAAGTTTGACAAATAAGGTTGTCTACCAGGCGCAATGGTTAGATTTGGAGAATTTAGACTGCTTTTATTTCTTAAAACTTGAAATTATCTTTTACGAACAAACTTTCCAAAAAAACTGTTTGAACATATTCAGGTTAACATTTGAATTGTAAAAATGATCAAGGCCAACCGTATTTAACAAATTTTCCATATACTGGAGATATCCCCATCCTCGATGCAGCGTTAACTTCTTTAGCTCGTCAAATATGATTCGAAATAGTCTATTCTTATCTAGTTCATGAATTCTGGCAAAATAAAACACCTTTTGTCTATCATGTCTATCAAGGAAATAATTTATTGGTTTCCAACCTTAATCTATGAAAAGAGCCAATTTAGGGATATTCATACTAGTACTGAAAATAAATTTCGCCGATTTATTTATTGCCAAGTTTCAAGAATTTGTTTGCTTGAAGCTGACGACGGCAGCCATACAGCACAACCGTGTGCGATAGATTGTCGTATTACCGAGTTCCAGAGGGCATCTGCAAAGGATATACGATTGAAAGATCCGTGCTCATTTAGCAACATAAACATATAATTGAGCTTGCACTCGAAGTTATCTTTTAGGTAACAATTTTTATGGTAAGCAAAAGTCAATGAACGGGTAAAATTAACGCCGTGATATTTGTATTCATTGGTTTTGAGCAGATTAACTAATTGCCATTTCTTATCTTTACATAAACGCTTACCTATTATCATAACATTGGATTTGTTTCGGTTAAATTGTAGATTCCACTTTGAAGCAAAATTAGCTGTTATATCAAGCAGACGATGTTGTTCCTCCTCGATCTTCCCGATAAGGACTACATCATCAGCAAATAAGAGGCAATTCACTAGTTATGAGGATCGTTTGGCACCAAAACTGCTGGCTTCGAGCATATTTACGAGGTGATTCATTAGAAAAAATCATCGTTGAATTTGTAATTGTATTTATTATCCTCATTTTTGCACTATGTCCTATTAAAACCTCCACTCGTAAAACTGCAGCCATAGTCTAAATTGAAAGGGAAACTAAATGCAAATATTGTTCGCAGATAGTAATTCACCAGTTATATTTTGTTATGTTATATACAACTTTGAGTGTTAAGTAAGTTACACAAATCAAACTGGGTTCTTTTAAATGTGTTAAACTAAATTGAAGTTTGCTTTTAGTTATTTCTGTTGTCTCGGATCATTATAACACACATCAATAGACAATAGACAGTACTGACGCGTATGTTTTTGTATTTACCGTGACATTTCCAAACAAGTTAATACAATTACATGCAAAAATGTACATGCTGTGAAAGCTTTTGATTTGTTAAAAAGTCAATTTATTGAAGACAAACAGACTGACAAAACACTAACACCTATGAATCGCCATAGAAAGATATGTGTCGCAGTCTCAAAATACAGATAACGAAATAACAAAAATGGCGATAGCCATGTGTCAGAAAAAGAAGCATCGGCAATCGATCAGTTCTGAAAGCAATGTGTCATGTGCAATAGCAGGTGCGCAATTTTTTTCCACGTAGAATAATATGTGCAAGTGTGGTTCATTTCTGTCAGGACGTTTACATTCCGGCTTTGGTTATACTTTTTGCCCTTTTTGGTATATAGGTTTTTCTTTCTTTTATAAGTTTTTGGATATTCAAAAAGGTTGGCCTTCGCATTACTAAAAAGACATTTTTGTTGAAATGCGTGTCTGGTGCGGGAAAATAAATGCCGTGAATGTTTTTACAAGAAATTGTTTACAAGGAATATTCTTTCCGAATAAATGTCTAAGTCCCTGTTTTGAAAAAACAAAAAAGCCCGTAAAACAAATAACACCAACTTTCTTTCCTAGAAGACATCTGTAAAAGCTTTATTCCTTAGATTCTGTCAAATAATTTTCACTGAGTTGCTGAAATGACACCGACAACGAAGCAAGACGACGGGAGTGATCAGTATATGTCACTGCAACTTAATGACACTGTTAAAACATTTCAATTTTTTTTTTAAATAAAGGTATACTGTTTTTTTTCTGTAATTGTTGTTTTTGATAATTTCCTCAGGCAAAAAAATATTATTGAACATAATTGGACTATCAATGTCTGTTTCATAGAAAGAATTGCCAACTTCTTTCAGATAAGTTCCATATTCATATTTCGGGTTTCATTTAAGAAAAAGATCATTTTCAGTTCGAGCGGATTTGTGCTGCTCTGTCTACCAGTTCGTCTACGTTTGGCTTATATGGACATTTACTGATATGGTTCCAGTATGCACGAACATCGTGAGGCTCCCACTTCTGTATTGGTGAAAAGGCACCAGTAGTAATATTCTCCTACAAAAATTTCAAGAGCAAATAAATAAAATTTTTAATAATATTCCGCACTCTATAGTCGTATACAGTAGGCGTTTTATTTTTTTGCCGGAATATTTTTTTTGTAAGAATGTATGTCAATGAAATCACGTTCATTTTGAAGCATATGAACATACACATTACTTTTGAGTTATGAGCAGCATTGATAATGAGAGGTTTAGCTAGCTCAAAAATCAGGTTTCAACTAGCATTGTCTTCGGAAAACGTCTGTACTAAGTAACGATGTTTTGCAGTTTTCTTCTTATCGTTCCGTTGGTTGATCACGAAACACGACCATGTTGACCCCACCACGTCCTTTTATTGCCATTATCAAGACCAGGTCATGTTATTCAGTGGTTGCCGTATGTTTATGGCTGTCATATTTGATTTTCTTAATTTGTATTATATAGATGAGGCCGTTAGATTTCTCGTTTGTTTTTTTTTGTCACATTTCTCATGTCGGAGCTTTTAGTAGCTGACTATACGGTATCCGTTTTTCTCATTCTTAAAGGCCGTTTGTTGTCATTTCGTCACGTGAACACTGGTAGGTAGTTGACTCGTTGGCAATCATACCACATCTCTTTCTTTTTATATATACAAAATGCAAAACTAGCTAATACGGATTATGAATGTTTTTAATTTAATTGTTGTTCTCAGTGTAATATCATTTGTGTATTTACTTACAAAGTCAACAATTGACCATAACGATGATTTCCTCTCCCAGATTGGAACCACAGCATCGCCTGGTGTAAAGACAGACTGATATTCACTTTTTACATATGTGTTTGACAAATACGCATGTTTTATGTTTAAGATATGAAAATACCAGTTGATTAATTCGGACTTCTTTACATGATAATGTTCGCTTATTATAGTTTGGTTTGGACAAAAACTAGAAGATTCGTTTAATTTTTCTGGCAAATATTTAACTCCTGCATATTCGCAACCGCAGATTTTGTATGGACATATAAGATCATAACTTCCGAATTGTTCCTCGCATATGTCAATATGAACATTTTTCAAGTGCCATGATATCTCGTCTCTGCGGAAATATTCCTCGCATTTTCGAAAATGTTGACAATTGCCTATATTTGCATTGGGAACTTTGGTTTCCTTACATTCAGAACAATCATCCATATATCTCCCATGGTACGATGAGCATACAACAACACTTGCTGGACATTTCTCTAAATGGGTTTTTAATTTTGAGCGAAGTAGAGTTACTTTACATCCATAGTTTTTGTTGATACAGGCAACCTCTTCATTTTCGCATATTATCTCATGATCCTTCAGCTTACACATGTGCAGACGAATACCACATTTACATAATGTCATTTCACAACTGTTGCTGTTTGTAACTTCATTACAATTTTGGTAATAACAAACCAAACAATGGCTGTGATCTTAAACGAAAAGGTAATAACATAAACGGTAATGAAAAATTATGTCAACAAAGAAAAATGTTATATATCAAACATGAAAGAATAAGTTGAAAAGTAAGAAAAACTTGACTATTGGTTTTGTTCAAAATAAAGATTTAAGATTAATACACACTGTCACTTGTCATGTGTAAGGTGTAACAGAATGGTGTATGAACACACAACACTGTAGTGTCTATTAATTAAAGTTTTTACGAAATCACATTTAAAAAATAGTGAATTATCTTTTTTACTGTTGTCAATTGTAGATCAATTAAGTGTTTTATTTAATGTTCTTTTCTACCAAATAAACTATTTCTTGAAATCATAATTGATATCTTTGAACAAAATTAGTCTCTTAGTATAAGTTATATTTGACTTTAACTAATGGCGTTATATTACATACTAAACTGCTATTACCTGTCATTGTAGATCTTCGTTGGCAAAGATCTGTCGGGTCCTTTTCAAGCAACAAGTCTATAAACTTGACTACCTCTGCAGGTGTCATCATGTTATTTTGCATTTCATTTAAAATATTGTCCATTATAATTAGCTTCATACCTAAAAAAGAATCGTGTTCTGGTGACAAGATTTGTATTGGTATATATTCAATCAATTTTAAATCTAAGGCAAATATTTTTGAAAGGTATTGTTGAACGGAATATCAAGACAAAATCTGTGCTTTATTCTTTTCATATCTTCAGAGTTGTTACTAAACTCATTTATCAAAACGCACGCAAGAACACTTTTATCGTTTTAAAAGACCAAATGAATTAGCAGCCTGGTGAATCTCATTCAAAGTTTGTACGATCACGGAAAATAATAATTTCGGGCCTAATTTCTATTTTAAAAAAACAACAGCAGACATTATCTGTTAACCAAGCTCTGTTCTTTACGTGTAAATACATTACATCAAATTTTAGGGGATTGCAACACAATTCCATATTCCAGTCTTAAGTATGAAATCGTTTAAGTTATATTGACATATTGTTATTCTAGACTGTTTCCCAAACTGATCGCCCCGAAGATCATAAAAAACATTTTATTAAAATCAGATATGTCATTTAAGGTTCAGATTGTGTAAATACTGCCGGGATTTTTAATGATCATTTTGTTATGTTTACATAAAATCTACCCGTAAATATGTGTTTAATTATAGTGTGTAAAGATGTAAATATCAGTGACAATACAACTACATCATCACAGTGTAGAACGCCACTTGCGGGGTGTCGGCTATGTTTCAAACGGGGTGGCGGTTTTGAAGCGAAGAAAAACTATAAAAACAAGTTAAAGAATCAAAATTTCTTTTTTGAGAATTGTTAGTACCAAATAATGTATTGCTAGGAAGGAACCGAACCATAATCAATTTCAAGCAAGCAGAAGCAGACGTTTACAGTGCTCTGGTTTCTCAAACACCTCTCCCTAGTTTTCCGTGTTGCAGATTTTGAGGCTTCATGTGCAAGTTTCAGGTCGAAAACCTACTTTTGACGATTGTTTCCCGTATGATTTATATAGAAATGAATTCCTATTAAGGAACTTCACCAAATGGCAGATTCTTAGTTAAAGACTATTGGTTTAAAAACTTTTATTTCATCAAAACGTAATGTGTCGCTTGTGGTGTCAGATTTGGTGTCTCAAGGGGTAAAGGCATTTATTAAAAAAAGAATAAATTTGCATATAACTCGGCCTTTATCTGATACTTTGTTATTTAAATGCACCTACTTTGTTATGAGGACAAATTGCAAACTTAGGGTATTTCATTTTGTACATTTTTAAGTCTTATATGTTATGTGCTTTTTAATTTTAGAAAAAAAGACTCAAAGTATTTTTTTTTTTTTTTTACATGAACATGATTTGTTTTCCTTTTCAGTCACTATCATGGTCAAGAAACGTTTGGACTATGGCTCAATGCACCCAAACATAGAGCAAAATTACAGAGAAGACCTCCGTATAAGATTTGCCCGAGGCACCACCAGTCAAAATGCATCAAATTTCTTCACAAGTTTCCGCTGCAAAGCACTCGAGCACGCCACAAAAAAACACTCACTCCCAAACGAATACGATTATTCTCTCCACAGAAATACTCACCGGCATCTATATTAACAAATGACAATACAGCTTCAAGAATACTTGAAGACGAAAACACTTCTATGTTCAACGATTTCAAAACAGCAATTCAGAATGTAGAAAAAACTTGCTGCTGATTTTCTTTCATTCGTGCAAATGGCAGAAGTAAACAAATTTTCATAACACACTATTTCTCTTCTTCTTTTCCTGGGGAATTTCACATTGAAACATCAAGGTCCATGGCGATGAAATCTGATAGTATCGTTTGGCGTGACATGGCTAAATTAATACTTGCCGTTGTAGGGATCGGCCATTCCGCGCTCAGGCAAGTTTCCTGCAATGTGTCCAATACTTTTTGGTCATTTAAATAGTTTACAAATTATAAGAATTTACAGTGAAAAAGGCAGTAGCCAGTTTTCCAAAACCTCTTTGTTGTTTCCCAATACCACATTTCCGATGTAATCCTTTTTGACATTAACTTGACTGTCTCCAGGAAAAGAAAAGAAATATTGTCTAATGGAAAATGCTGTTTTGAATTCGTATAGAATAGATGCGTCATTATCTTCGGGTTTTCTTGAAGCTGTATTGTCATTTTTTTATATAGATGCCGGTGAGTATTTCTATTGAGAGAGTAATCGAATTTGCTTGGGAGTAAGTGCTTTTTGCGGCGTGCACGAGTGCTTTGTAAAGGAAACTGGTAGAGAAATTTGATGGAGTTTAGCTGTTGGTGGCTTTGGGCAAATCTTATACTGATGTCTCCTCTGTGATGTTGCTCCATGTTTGGGTGCATTGAGCCACAGTCGTAACTTTTTCCTGACCATGATAATGAATGTAAAGGAAAACAAATCTTGTTCAGGTATAAAACAAAATACTTTGAGTCTTTTTTTCACTATTTCTAAAATTAAAAAGCACACATCTTATCAGCCTAAACAACGTACAAAATGAAATACCCTAAGTTTGCAATTTGTCCTCATAACAAAGAAGGTGCGTTTGAATTACAAAGTATCAGATAAAGGCCGAGTTATATGCAAATTTATTCTTTTTTTAATAAATGCCTCTACCTCTTGGGACACAAAATCTGACACCCCAAGTGACACATTATATTTTGATGTAATAAAAGTTTTTAAACCAATAGTTTTCACTAAGAAGCTGCCATTTGGTGAAGTTCCTTAATAGGAATTCATTTCTATATAAATCATACGGGAAATAATCGTCAAAAGTAGGTTTTCGTCCTGAAACTTGCACATGAAGCCTCAAAATCTGCAACAAGTAAAACTAGGGAGAGGTGTTTGAGAAACCAGAGCACTTGAAAAAACGTCTGCTTCTGCTCGCTGGAAATAGATTATGGTTCGGTTCCTTCCGTGCAATACATTATTTGGTACTAACAATTCTAAAAAAAAGAAATGTTGATACTTGAACTTACCTTAATTGTTTTTCTCCGCTTCAAAACCGCCACCCCGTGTCAAACATAGCCGACACCCCGCATGTGGCGTTCTACACGGTGATCATGTAATTGCATTTATGCCTGCCCCCCTAGTTCCCATGTTATCACAGGAGACCGTAACATCGTTCGTAACCGGGAGTTGAAATCATTCCTCAGTAAAGGATCTAAATATCGTCCCCCGTCAATTATTAATTGGAATGAATGTCGTAATATCATCCACGACTAACTCCGTACTTACTGCTTGAAATTGATAAACGAGAAAAAGCTGACAAGAAATCCATGGCCTCTTTTTTTTTATTTCAGTAATGAACATAGTTGATATACGTATACAACATTTTAAAAAACATTATACTTTTAACAACAACCATAAGAACCCTATTTCTCGTATTAACATAAACTAAAAGAACTCGCCATGGAATTTGATTTTTGTCCCGGCTGACAAAGCTTCTAATAATATCATTATTGTTTGACGTAAATTTTACATTGAGGTTCTGCAAAAGGAAATCACGAATTTACCAGCAATCCAACTGACTCCATTTTCGGAAAATGACATCTGTAACAAACATAAACTGTTAGCTCCTTCTTTACAAGCAGAACCAAATACAATGAAAGTTCCAACTATGTACTGGCTTCCGCAGCTGCATATAACACCTTACAAACATAGATTTATTTCATCTTAAAGCCATAGTTCTACTATTTCACTGTCTATTCTACTTACTTATACACTTGATAACAAACCTTAAAATAAATTGCCCAAATAAGGCCTTTGAAAATAGTGGAATTAATTACTTTTGAAGTGTCAAAAATTCGTTGGAAGTACTTGATAAATTGCATGCTTATATTGGTGATTTTGAATCTGTTCAAAGTTTTGATTTTTCTACCTTATATACCACTTTGCCTCATATTCTTATTAAGAAAAAATGCACACACCTTATTAATAGGATTTTTAAAAAGTCAGAAAATATATGTTTAAACTCTTTTATGTCATTTTTTAGTAACTGCAAACAAAGGAACTATGTCAATGCTTTGATACTATAACATTTCTGTTCGCTTGGGATATACCGTATATCGTCAAGTTATTGGAATTCCAATGGGGACTAACTGTGCACCACTTATTGTGGACCTGTTCATGTATTGTTATGAGTTACAATTTATGACTAAAATCAGCAAAGACCCATCGAAACAACATCTGATACCAAAATTTAATAATACTTTTAGATATTTGGATTATATATTGGCTCTCAATACTGACGACTTCAGTATGTACACTAAAGAGATTTATCCTGTTGAACTTACTTTAAATAAAGCTAATACTAACAATGAACACTGTGATTTTTTGGATCTTGGTATTTATATCATTAACGGGAAGCTTAATGCCATAATTTATGATAAAAGAGATGATTTTTCATTTCGTATTGGTAATTATCCATTTTTAGATGGTGACGATCCCTTGTGGTGTTTATATATCTCAACTTGTACGATTTGCTCGTGTATGTAACAGCGTATTCGATATAAGTGAAAGAAATCTATGCTTAACTGAAAATTATAACACCAGGGTTTTTCTATATCAAAAACTAGTCAAAACATTTACTAAATTTTATCATTGGTACCAGGACATCATTATTAAATATAATTCAATATACAGACATCTTATACGTTCAGGTATTTCACATCCAATCTTTTATGATAATATTCTGTTCAAAGCACAAAAATGTCGGCATTCACTTCAAAAGCTAACAAAACCTTTAAACAGATATATTAAGAAGGGATATAGTTACGATACTGTTGTCAGGTCATTAAAGATTGCATATTTTGGCTTTAATATTAACTGACTTATAGGGTCTTTCCATGGGAAATCAACACATTTATTCTATAACCACTTGTTGGCATGATACGGGTTATGTTCTTCTCATATATGTTATGATGGTAAGATACTAAACCCCTAACTGGAGGGATTGTGCTTGATATTCATATGATGAAGACATAATCTTTCAATCAGTTTAATTGAGGTCTGAAGCTGGCATGTCAGTAACTGCTAGTCGTCCATTGT